GTATTTAGCAATATGATTTTAGCTTTCTTTTGAATCATTTGCATATTATAAAAACATCTATTTTGGGCCAGCAGTGATTTTCGATGTAGGATAATAATAATTATAGTTGACGGCTGTGGTTAGTACCCCTGACTGCGAATCCATGGGTCCCGGGTTCGATCCCCGGCTGAGACAAACATCGATGTGATGAGCATTTGGTGTTGTGCTTAGGTCTTGGGTGTTTAAATATGTATTTATATGTCTATATATCTATAATATGTATGTATATCCGTTGCCTAGTACCTATAACACAAGCTTCACCAGCTTAGCATGGGACTAGGTCAATTGGTGTGAATTGTCCAAAAAAAAAATTAATAAACCACGTATTTTTTCGTCTTTAAAATGAAGCATGAGGTCACAGAGTCTGCAAGTCTATTATTGAATAATAACAATCTTCATAGACAAGTAGATCCGCTGTTTAATCTGTTAACCCAACTTAAAGAACTTGGGTTGACAGATTATAAGGCATTAACAATAAAACTTCACACCTCCAGCTTATACGATACATTTGTTAGCAACTGACCGACACACGACACTGACACAAAAGAACACGACATAAATATTAACAAAACATTCATAGACATTTGACAATATACAAGTTCCTCTGACATTTCTATATTGTTATTTGTTACATAACTTTCTGCGCCATTAAGTGTGAGCGGAAGCGGTCTGTGCAAACATTATATTAGATTAAGTACACCAATCTTACTTTGAGGTCAAATAGAGAAATTTTACTTGAGAGACGGTTAAATTGTATGCAACATGCAACAAAATAAACAAAACCATAAACAATTTGAAAACATATTTATTATATTATCTACTAATTGGACGTCAAAGCAAAAATATATTCAACTATTTTGAATTAAGATAATTAGAAATGATCAGTTTGTATGTTTTTTTAAAAGCTTCCAAGCTCGGCACACGGATACATTGGTACTTAAAAAAATACACGATTTAATGTACAGTGTAAAGTCACGTTTAGTTATAACGTCATTCGTTATAACGAAATACTCTCTATAACGAAAAAATGAGGTAAATTTATTTAGTTTAAAACAAAGCCCATACATTAATTTACTCTTTATAACGCAACAGCCAACAGTATTTTGTTAAACACGAAGAGGGAAATACATCGATTCATAGATTATAAAACAAAAGAAAAATTTATTTCAAAGTGTGAAATTATATCTGCAACTAACTTTTTAGCTTAACAGTAGGTAAGCAAAGAATTAGGTACTTAGGTACTAGTAAAATCTAATATTGGACGTGTAATATTTTTATTTTTTGTAACATTTGTTTACCATAATTGTCATGTATCTTATAAAAGATCGCTTGTAATATATAAACTGTAGAAATAGCATTATATATCATGTGGTGAACTTTAATAAATAAATGGGGTAACAGTGACAAAATATTTTTGGTCTTCTCATTAACACATTCTAATATAATATCATCGTCTCATTCATTAAAGTATCTCACTATGTTTAAATTCATCATTAGATAGTAATAAACGTATTTATCATAGTTTGATTTTTGTGACAAACAGCTGTTACTATATAAATTACCAGCGGCCATCTTGTTAACCCTCCGATATTGAGTAGTTAACTTTTTTGACTAATGGTTAGATATTTGACCATTTGTTACTCTAACCACGGATCAAAAATGCATTTTGCAAGTTTTTAACTGATAGTAAGAATATTTAACCAATAGTAGAGTTAACTACGGATCAAAAAACTTGCCCTAAATGCATATCAAGAGATATGTTCGATACAAAAGTATTAAAACATTTCATTGCTTCACATTATACTCTTATCTATTTAAATGTCAAGATAAAATTTTGCAAGAACACATAAGAACTAAAATCGTTGTATAACAGTATAAATGGTTTTGTAACAAGGAAGTAGGTCGAGAGTCCTTGCGGCGGCCGCGCATAGACTTTTGAAATCAGTGTCTGGGCCGAGGTTGCCCATATTAAATAATACTGGCGCTACAGCCCTGTATGGGATTTTGCATCTGATATTTTATCAGGATCGATAAGTAGGTCATCTGTGCCTGACAGATATTGTAAATTTTTGTATCTAAGACGAGTCAGTATTAGTTCCGCACTTGGAAAAAAGTGGTGCAAGAAATGGAATGTCTCAATGTTGAGAGTAACACGATTAAGCTATTAGGGTTGACACTTTTAGCCACTACGATAATTAATCCCAATATTAGGAAACAAAGCTTTTTTTTAAAAGTCGTGCATGATACTCCATTCAACTGAACCACAACACCTATACAACGTACTTACCCTGCCAAAATGTATGTTTTTTCATTTAACCATGGTAACAAAAACAGCAGGTTTAGTCAACGCAGGCGCAAGTATATTCTTAAACTCTTATTTTTTTTAAATAACGCCGAAAAAAAAATCTACTGAATGGACATCATTTATAATGTAGATTAAATATTTATTAACTTGTGTAGGTAAATCAAGAATGTCCTTTGCACTATAGAGTGTATAAATGACCTATATATAAAAAGCAAAATATAATTTATTAATGTAGGTAACATCGTTATGTACGTTTACACTTATATAAACGTTAGTACAAAAATAATCTAAATTTAATACTCTCTGCCAGTTCTCAAATCAAGCCTGGCAATATACTTTTTTAAGTCGCCAAGGTTTTTTTACTAAATGTTTGTAAGCACCATTAAATCATGCTCCTTATCATGTTAAAGCTGTTAATTTCTTTATTAAATAAATATTATTCATCTAGCATCTATAAGTTTAGACATTATAGATGCTATACAATTTAAATTGATCTGCCAGGTCTATTCTGCCTACGCTTTATAGTATACACATACTATTGTTGCCTTATTAATTACATTTCGTAACAACTTATAACTTATATTAGGCCGGCAACGCACTCGCGGTGTCGATTTTTTGTGACGGTGTGTGCGCGCATCGTAAAAATTTACTCTCATCATTATTCCCTAACGCGCCAAAAGAAGTACATATCTTCAAAAATAAAAAGTTTTCAAAATTATTTATGTTATGATTGCTAATACAGAGATTATAAATTAAACAGATCAAAACTACTTACAAACGCGTCGCAGGCCTACCTCAAACTTACATAATTCGAAGGTCACTTGGCAGTTGTCACCCACATGACGTCATACGTGGACACTTGTGAAATGGTGAAAGTAATTTCGATTGTGGCCTTGTACCACTTCGAGTCCGGTCTTGAGTGCATTAAAATGCCACCACAGGTCAAAAGACATAGCTGTCATATTTCGCCTGTTTTCAATTGGCCAGGCTTCATTCCTTTTTCCAGAGGAAATGTAGTATCTTATCTATAGTCGTGGTAATGTTCTCATTGGGTAAACGTACCTTAAGTTACGTTATTTTAAAAATATATGTTATTAACAATAAAAACCTTAATACTCAAAGAGATTACAATATGACAGTTTCTCACAGACCACAAGTGCACACAGACCGTAAAAGAAATTCTTTGCTTTTGATGCTTTAAATAAAGAACGTTGAATTGTATGCGTTAAAAAGCAAAGAAAATTTCAACATACTCGTAAATGTCAAAAATAAAGATTTCATTCGCAATTTTATGACTAATATATATAATATATGCAAGTTTTGAAATGAACCAGTTCACGTGAAACAGTCTCGAATATTCGATACAACCTTCACCTAGTACCACACTTTTTACAATTACATAAGCTTTGTTTACAAACCAAATTGCTTCGTATATGTAATAGGCACATTGAATTTGTTATTCTCTTAATTCAAAGTAGGAATTTTGAATTTGGATTGCATTGTTCCAAATTCGAATGTGAGAACTTGTTATGTCATATGGCGAGTACCGTAGTCTTCGTTATATTTAATAATCATCATCTATTTATGTGTAAATCCAATATATCTTAAATGTGCTATGCAAAGTATGGACGTATTTCCGAACCAATTCGACTTAGGGTCCTTCAAGAAAAGAGCATACCAATTCTTAAAAAGCCGGCAACGCACTCGCGAGCCCTCTGGCATTGAGTGAGTGTCCATGGGCGGCGGTATCACTTAACATCAGGTGAGCCTCCTGCCCGTTTGTCCACCGTTCTATAAAAAACAAACGACAAATAATGACCCGTAACAGATAATAAAAACCTTAGTCTGTGTATCGTCTAGCCATAATTATTACGTGTGTTTGACAGTTCAACAAAAAGTGCGTATACGCATTGTTATCATTAGGTTGGGTGCTCGCGCGTGCCGGTAAAGCCAACGCAACACAATGAATTACCAAAATATTCGTCACGCTCTGATTCTAACCACAGACAACACATAACTTTGTATTGTAATAGACATTGTGTAAATATACTTAAGTTTATCTAAATGAATCTGTTATGGGAAAATAGTGAAAAAACATGGCGAAATTGTTTTGTGAGCTGTCCCTAACTGAGATGGGCATATGCCTCCGTTTTGATGATTTTTTTTTTATAAATAAAAGTTAATATATAAAGGACTTTTTTCCTTTTACTTGGCTCTAAGAGTAAGTTTAAAAGATTTAACGCAACGCAAACGTTTGATCGCCGAGCTATGATGAAAAACAGAAAATTTTGAATAAAAATAGAACTTTCTAAAAAGTTGAAATACGTCGTTTTTTGCCGTTTAAATTGAGGTATTACCACAATTAATAAATAACGGGTATTTGTAATTAATTAACACCTAAAAATAAATTATAGATAACAAATAACTTATAGCTCACCTTTATCAAAAGAATCTAGTCGCGATTTAACTTACATCATAAACTGGTAATAAAGTATACCAATTTTATATTACAGAATCAAGAAACGCAACACTGCGAGAACTTTGACTGTTAACATGCTTACGCTCTGGCGATCACTTCCATCCAAGAAAGTAATGTGCAAGAGCAACCCACCAGACCAAAGAATATAATCACATTAAGAAACTGAATATAGAGAGAATGGCTATCCACGTGCTCCTAGCTTCAAGTGCCTTGAAGACAGTCAGTGTCACGGGACTATGGCTCATACCCTTACTCTTGGGGGCATTCACGTATAACAATTACAACTCCTACGATCCTGAAGCCAAGGTGCAGGAAACGGACCCAAAGAAAGAGTATGATTTCGTCATTGTTGGAGGCGGGTCAGCTGGTGCTGTGGTGGCAAACCGGTTGACTGAAATCGCAAGCTGGAATGTTCTACTATTAGAAACTGGTATGATTGTTATAAAATGCTTATCTGAAAAGTATATATTTTTTTTATCTTACAAAGTATCGAACCCACTACTAGCAATGAAGGTATTAGACAAATATAGGACTTTATAAATATAGGAGATAGGATAATATATATATATTATATATCTTTTATTATGGCTAATACGTAATATTATGTAGCCTAACTGAAAGTTCATTTCAGATCGAGTATCCCATATACCGCACTTGCACTTTTACTAACTCAAAAGGCTCGTTCTCTTTAGAGGTCTTTTCTGATGATAGAGAGATATAGTCAGTTTAACTGAGCTAAACCAAACAGTTTCAAACCTTATTCTGAGCCATATATCTATCTACTTCACTGAAAAATGGTCATCTTATATGTAAAATATTATAATTACTGCAAAGACGCAAAGACATCTCAGTAATTAAACATAACAATTTAAATTTAATAAATTCCAGGACCAGATGAGAACGAGATAACTGACGTGCCGTCTCTTGCTGGCTACCTCCAGCTGACGAAGGTTGACTGGCAGTACAAGACAGAGCCAACAAACTATGCTTGTCTTGGATTTAAGAACCAAAGGTGCAGTTGGCCCCGTGGCAAGGTAATCATTTTTAAATTTTAGATAGATTTCATTAACACTAAACCAAACCGGACCGATTAATATAATTTTTGTTAGTTTTATATTTACAAACAATAAGTGGCGTTATAGTAAAGCAAGCTGAAATAGTAGTTGGTCGGCTAGGTCGGGCACTACTTCATATTTTATGTATTTATTTATTAAATAATCATTATATTATTTAATAATACATTTCAATTTGGGAAGTAAGATATTTTTTATTCATTACACAAATACATACATTATTCTTACAGACTATGCCAATGCGATAATGTCGAGAAAAATGAAATAAAATATAATAAAGTATATAATATTGAACTCATAATATAGACAATATCGCTCCTGTAAATTCACTCTGCGAACATAAATATGACGAGTGTCTGAGACAGCATTCAGTAGGCGCAATGTCTTTGATAACGGGGATCTGTTCAACAGACTGTTTCTGGCCCTTGGTATCGCAAATAACCTTGGCCTTTGCCGTTCACATATCCCATAGGTAAACCCAGTTCTTGGAATACACTTGGGTTGCACACTATATACTCGTATAATATGTCTGTTTCCTTAATGTAAAGAAATTAATAACACAAAGAATCACCGGCAATTATTATAAATGAAAAACAATGTTTCATTTTAATTTCATCACATTACAGGTCTTGGGTGGTTCCAGCGTTCTAAATTACATGATCTACGTTAGAGGCAATCGGAACGATTTTGATCAATGGGAATCGTTTGGGAATCCAGGCTGGTCTTATGAAAACGTTCTTCCCTATTTTATCAAATCTGAAGACAATAGGAACCCTTATTTAGCAAATAATAAATATCACGGGGTTGGTGGATATCTTACCGTTCAAGAAGCACCCTGGAGGACCCCTCTTGCAGCCGCTTTTGTCGAAGGAGGTGTTGAAATAGGATATGAAAATCGTGACATTAATGGAGAAATACAAACTGGTTTCATGTTAGCTCAAGGAACAATAAGACGTGGATCTAGATGTAGCACAGCAAAAGCATATCTGAGACCAGTCAGAACGAGACCCAATCTCGACATCTCCTTAAATACAATGGCTACGCGAGTCTTAATTAATCCTATAACCTTGAAAGCCTATGGCGTCGAATACATCAAAAATGGTATGAAACATGTCGTCTATGCAAGGAAAGAAGTCATAGTATCAGCGGGCAGTATCAATACACCACAACTACTCATGTTATCTGGCATCGGACCCGCACATCACTTGCGGCACGTGGGTATTCCAGTATTAAAAGATTTACCAGTTGGCGAAAACCTTCACGATCATGTGGGCGTTGGTGGAGTAACTTTTTTAGTCGATAAACCTGTATCAATCATTCAAAACCGCTTCCAGGCATTTCCAGTTACAATGAATTACGTGGTGAATGAAAGGGGACCAATGACCGTACTCGGGGGTTTAGAAGGTATTGCTTTTGTCAATACAAAATACGCCAACAAATCTGGTTTATGGCCCGACATACAATTCCATATGGCACCGGCTAGCTTCGCTTCAGATAATGGTCAAACTATACGAAAGATTCTAGGTTTAACCGATGAGTTGTACAACACAGTATTTAAGCCTATTGAAAATGTTGACGCTTGGACGATCATGCCGCTATTGCTACATCCAAAAACTCGAGGATACGTGCGACTGAAAAGTTCAAACCCCTTCGAACACCCAATAGTCAATCCAAGATACCATGAGAACCAATACGATGTAGATAGGCTTGTCGAAGGAGTAAAGATAGCTTTGCAAGTAGCAAACGGTAAAGCGTTTAAACAATTTGGATCGAGATTGCATACAATTCCTGTCCCAAATTGTAAACATTTTATATTTATGTCAGACAAATACATTGATTGCTTAGCCAGAACAATTAGTATGACAATTTACCATCCCGTAGGAACAGCAAAGATGGGACCTTCTTGGGATCCTGGTGCAGTTGTAGATCCCCGATTAAGGATGCATGGAATAGAGAGTCTCAGGGTAATAGATGCTAGTGTAATGCCAACTATTGTTAGTGGAAATACGAATGCTGCAGTAGTCATGATCGCAGAAAAGGGTTCCGATATGATTAAACAGGATTGGTTAAATCGGTGACATTAGATTGTCAACACAAACTGATAGTACATAATAAATTGCCAATTTTAGACATAAGAGAAAATAAAACTATACTCTGTTTTTTAATTCCGTAGAATTCTGACAGCTATAATTTTTTGACATGTCAGAGATGGCAACCTTTTTGTCCGGGCACATTTTTCAATTTCAATACGATTCTGAACATCTGAGTCTATACATACATTTTATTGTTAGTTAATGTATATATTTTATTAAGTGCGGTGCTCCACATTAAAAGTGGTTTAACGGCGAGTAATAAATACGTCCCTTTTCACCACAAACAGTAAAAAACGCACAAGTAAAGATAACATTTTATTTTGTTTAAAAGGTTTACTAAACCTGGAATCAGTAGGCAGTGATGCCAGCTAAAGAATAAAATAAAGTAATTAAAGTTAATTCCATATATTGTTCGTGATATTGAAATATTTGTTATTTTTGTATAAGGTCACTTGAGTAAGTAAATATTTAGATTTACTTTTTTGTAGGTAAATCATGAAAAATACGTAGCATTTTTTTTTGTATTGCTCTCAAATAAGTCAAATTTGTCCCTTTTTCTGTGGAGAACTATTTTAATAGCAACACTAATGAAATGTCAGATTTCTACGGAATGAAAACGTTTATCTATCATAAAACCTTCTTCCAGAAGAATGTTTTCTAGTTATTGTTTTATTAATATTATATTCGTTAAGTAACTGGCGATTTGTTACCAGATGTAAACCAAAGTACCTAGACGTAAAAATATGTTATTAGTAAGAGTGTTAAAATAATATACATTATACAGTCAGTAATTTTAATTAAGTATAGGATGTTTATAATTGTTATATTAATGTTAAAATATTTTATGCTAATGCACAGTTTTATACAATACCATCTATACTAAAATTCCTTGTTTTATACACAACTAGCAAACCCGGCGAACTCGGTTTCGCCACCAGATGGCTTCGTTTTATGTACCATTTCGTTTGGTGATCCCGCTTTTCTGTTGAAATTTTTCCTGAATTTTCTGTGGAAATCGGTTCGTGCGTTCTGGAGTTATAGCGTCAGGAAGGAAAACCCGACTTATTTTTATATAGTAGATTACAATTTAAGTATCAACATAGTGCTGCCTGCAAAAACGAGATGGCGTTGTTTTTAATAATTTGTATTCCAGTCTCGTGAAACAGAGTCCGAGTCCTTTTTTTAGATCTACAACATTTCTAACGTAGTTATACGACATTGTAAAAAGACTACTGTCAACCATTAAAAACTTAAGGCATTAGTTGTAAGCAAATCATGTTTTTAATAGACCAAGAAATTATAAGGAATTTTAATGATATCATATTTTGTTGCCAGTCGTAATAATTGTTAAATATGCATTCTCGGATTCGCTATCATATACCTTTAGAAGGTCATTATTGTTGCAACCATAAAGAACTTATTATAATACATTGTATGATGTCCTTGGCTTTTTCATATCAGTTAACTTAAGTTCCTGTTCTAAAATAGTATAAATAGTTTTTTTTTTTACTTTTTTTCGCTACTTCACCATAATGTTATAAAGAGTATCATCATAGTAGTATATTTTACACATTCATATTTTAATATCTAGTTGTAGTTCTATCGTTGCTAATACACGTCAAGAGACTAAATATACGCACGCACATTGAAAACTTTGGAAATTACTGTGACTTATTAATAAAAAATAGATTAGTCACGCTAGTCTAAGAAATTTCTATGGCTTTCTTTCCAAAGCGATATCTTATTCTTTCATTCATTGATTTTCGGTCTTCTAAATCTGGACAAAAATACGTATTTTTTCGGACATATTGAGTAACAAAGTACTGATATTCCTAATTATTAATCCGATCTTAAAAGTTAATAATCTACTATATATGCACGATAATTTTGTTTTTAATTATAACAATTTGTCTAATCTAAAAGATATTGTATTCACCATTGTGCCATATACATTTTTTCTACTGGAACAAGTTCACAGCATATAAATATACGACATTAATTGTTAAGTGTTTATGTTACTTAAATAAATGTTATCATTTTTATGTGTATTAATAATTCCTACAATTCATAATGAACGCTGGCTTTATATGCCTGTTTTTGGTTTAAGATATGAATAACAATTTTTTTAATGTTGTTGATGTTTAATAATTGACACCAACGTTTTAGGCCGCGACCGTGGGCCTTTTGAAAACGGGTTAAACCACAAGGAAAAGGTATTTATAAAAGTACAGTGAAAATATGTATGTGCATTGTAATATATCCTCTAAATCAAAGCGGAAAATACGACATTACAATAACAAAAGTGAAGGGAATATTTATTTTGCCACAAACAGCACAAGTATACCTACACATGAAACAATAACAAAGTGACCTATAGCGAAACAGAAGTACGAAACATATTAATATGTGTTGATATAGGATCTTAAATAATTTATTGTGATAATAATAATTTGTTGTGCCGACTCCGAAAAACTTATATTTCAGGTAAAATTTATTTAGGCCTTTGACATATCCTCCATAGTTCCTCGTTTAGTCTATATGACAGCGAAACGCCGCGAAAAATTTTATATTCATAAAGTGAATATAATATTTTGTATCTTAATAATGTATGTCAACTTGCCACAAAAGAAGTATGAGAAAAGACTAGATTCCTTTTACGGCGAGCGGACGCCTTTTCTACTATTTACACAACGTAAACAATTCTTAATCCGGTTTTTATACGGAAAGAACCATGACATTTGTACATATTCGCAAACAAATGAATAATCAAACCGACTTTATTAAAACTCCCAATTCTACCCTATTACTTCCAATGAAGAATTCTCAAAAAGTTGTGTATCTATATGTTACTGTAAAAGCTCGAACTACGGTTAGTCTTATGATTTAAGTGTAAGTTTTAGGATTTACCGACATCAGTTGGTAAATGTAAGTATTTCTGAAAATACGACGATTTTTTCGAGCTTTTACGCCTTTAGTACACCTACGCAATCGCATGCGGCAGCGAAACGACGAAAAAACTGTAAGTTGTATGGCAACGTTTCGCATGTGTTTTGTCTCGCTCTAATATATAGCTAGATGAAATAGTTGCGTCCTTGTCGGTATTGTTTCGCAAGTAACTGCGAAATGGCTGTTACACAGACGCAGCCGCATCGCAAGGCGTCACCACGCGTTCTGTCGGTGAGGACAGAATTTCGCACAATGGAAGCCGAAAATATTGAATTTAGTGTTGCCCAAAATCGGTCTTGGTCTTGCAGTCTTGGTCTTGTTCTTGCATTTTCGCAAGACCAATACCAATACCAAGACCGCCTTATTGTAGCAATACCAAGACCAAGACTGAAGCCTGCAAGACTTGAGCAAGACAATACTAAAGCCTGCAAGACTCTTGCGTCTTGCAGTTAAGACAAACTGAGATTTGGACGTTATTAAGTAGGTATTTGGTTTCAATCCCGATTTTGAGAGACGTTCCCCAGTATTAAAACCGTTGGTATCGTCATAACACTAAAAGTGCCGCTCGTCTGAAAGAACACTGAAAGGTATTGTATTGAATAGGTAGGGAAGTACTTATTACATTTCAACAATTTATTAAGTAGGTAACGTGTTAATACTCACAAATCTGTTACCATCATCACATGTGATAAAATTTACCCAGAATAACTTTCTAGCAAAGATCATACCTTGTAGGTATCAACTAACCTATAATAATATATTATGCTTGTTTATGTCTAATGTGCAGATCTAACGTTAGTACTCGTAGGTTGGTATGTGCTTAAAATTATAGCCAACAAAGTTATATAAACATTATGTAGGTACCTACTTATGTTTCAAAGTTTATATTATTCTTCTATTTAGCAAAATTTAAAACTAACTGCGAGTCGAGTAGGTCTAGTAACAGTTTCTACGGCAGCCAATATTATGGTACAGACGCTAGCACATGAAGCTACTACAATCTGTCAAATTTCTTTAACAGATTTTCAACTTTATCGCTAAAGAATTAAGGTTCAAGGTTGATTGGGAAAATGTGACGTTCTGCGAATAAACTGTTGGTCGGTCGGTGTATTATACGTAGTTGGTCCCAAAGTTCTGTCACTAGCACATTATTTCTACATTTCGAGCAGGATTTTATAAAAAAATTATTGCATTCTATTTTGGAATGTTTGATTATTGTTTTAAAACAAAAAAACAATAACTTTCCGTAATTTTTCACGATGGAGTGGACATTGAAAGTAAACCGAATAGTTGTTATTGCGTTGCACCGCTGTGGACACTCGCCGAGTACCATTTTCAAGTTGCTCAAAAATTTGAATATAACGCTTAGGTTTGTGTACGGTACTATTGATAGGTACCTTGAAGTCTCCAGTGTTGAGGACAAGAAAAGAACTGGCTGGCCACGCTCCGCAAGAACACCAGCAGTAATCAAAGCTATCAAGGCGCGGATAGTAAGAAATCCTGTCCGAAAACAGAAGTTGATGGATTTGCAGATGGGTGTCAGTAGGAAAACAGTAAAAAAGGTTTTAAATGAAGATCTTGGTCTACGAGCATACAAAAAAGAGTGGGCACTTACTTAATGCTCGTCTAAAAGCAATAAGGCTTAAGAGATCGCGGGTGTTGTTTCAGCGGTACGCGAAAAACCGACACCGTGATATCCTCTTTACGGACGAAAAATTTTTCGATATTGAAGAGAAGTACAATAAACAGAATTATACAGTGTACGCTAAGAGTTCTGAAGAAGCTGAAAATAAAGTTCCAAGGGTGCAACATGGACATCATCCATCATCAGTAATGGTTTGGTTGGGAGTGTCCTATTACGGGCTAACTGAGGTTAATTTTTTCGAAAAGGGGGTCAAAACCAGTGCTACAGTGTACCAAGAGACGGTTTTGTATCGCCTTGTCAAAGACATGTCCAGCACCCTATTTGCGGGACATCACTTCGTGTTCCAGCAGGACTCTGCGTCTGCATACAAAGCCAAGACCACTAAAGCCTGGTT